GGTGGTAATTTGGTGGGGGTCTCGAAGGGGATGGAGATGGGGATGGGGGTCGGATAAACGATACCGAACCAGGCCGCGAGCCACGGGGGTGGACAGTTTGGCTCACCCGAGTGGCCCTGGGCCCAGCCCCCCGACCACACTGCCGCTTGGCGGACGAGCGACACGCCGGCCCTGGGCGCGGGCTGCACAAAGAGGCAACGAGCGGAGAGCGCGCGAGGTCGCGTCTGGCGATCGCCCTCGGAGAGGGCGAGAGGGCAGCGGAGATCACCACGGCAGCATGCCAGAGAGGCAGAGGCAGAGGCAGCACCCGAAGTGCCCAGCGAGAGGCAGGACACCAGGGTCTAGGGAGGGGGGAGGGGAGGACTTTCAATATTGACCATGCCTGTCGAACCCACTTCACGCAGCAGGACAAACCACGGCATCAATCACCACCCCGCCTTTACGGGGACGCTTGCCCTTGAGGATCCTATACGTCCATCTCTTCAAATTCTCTGTCGCGGCTTGGCCGCATTCATCTGCAAGCAACTGTTCGGCAGCGTGTACCCCAAACAGTAAGTCATTGCACTGTGGATGTGCAAGCTATGTGATGCAATATACGTTGTGGAGGTTATGTGGTGTAAGCTATATGGCGCAGCCTCGACGGACCGGCAACGGGCGGCGACGCGGCGAAACCTCGACGGACCCCCCCAAGCCCAAGTGCGCGGCAGCGAGGCAGCAACGAGGCGGCAACGCCTCGGCAACGAGGCGGCACCAAGGCGAAACTTCGACTGACTCCCCCCCCCAACTGGGCGGAAACGAAGCGACCCCCCCCAAGTGATCGGCAACGAGGCGGCAACGGGCGGCGACACGGCGAAACCTCGACGGACACCCCCAAATGGGCGGCAGCGAGGCGGCAACAAGGCGGCAACGGGCAGCAACGCGGCGAAACTTCGACGGACCCCCACCCCCGGTGGGCGGCAAGGAGGCGTTTTAGTGGACGCAGCGACGCGGCGGAACCTCGACGGACCCCCCCCCCTCCCCCAAGTGGGCGGCAGCGAGGCGGCAACAAGGCGGCAACAAGGCGGCGACGCGGCGAAACTTCGGCGGAGCCCCCAGGCAGGGGGGCAGCGAGGCAGCAACGAGGCGGCAACGGGGCGAGAGCGGCGACGCAGCGAAGCCTCGACAGACGCCCCCCCGCAAGAAACTGACTGCCAACGGGGCGGCAACGAGGCGGCAACGGGCGACGCCTCGACTGAGCCCCCCCCAAGTGGGCGGCGACAAGGTTGGCAACGAGGCGGAAACGGCTCTTGCACGACACGTAAAAGCCCCTGAATACAAGCAAAGCTAGGGGGGGGGAGGGAGGAGGAGGAGGAGGAGGACAACGATGTTGCAGCACCCTCCGTCCAAGTTCCCTCTTCATAGGCCCCTACAGAGACTCATGATTTAAGACAGCGTTTGGAAAGCATGACCTGTGCCGGCACACCTTTCCTGGGACTTCAGAGCCGCGAATTACAGCATCTGTTCCGTATTGACGACCCTGCATCGCGCCAGAACACAATACCTGGGCCTTCAACACCACGAAACAACGTAGCTGCTACGCTGTGGCAATCCGACATCGTGACAAAACACCGCTTCTGGAACGTTAACCATGAGAATCCTTGAAACGAATGCGCGCGGTGCTCAGGCGAGGGCCACATGTTGAAAGGACACCCCCTCCATCCGCGAAACGCTTGCATGTTTGGTGAAAAACGAACAATCGCGGCGCCAAGACAAGAGCCACATTTTGAACACGGCCCGCCCTCCATCTATAAAACTCGTGCGATTTGTTGAAGACGAATGTACGCAGCGCTACGGCGAAAGACACATTTTGAAAACGACCCTCCCTCCACCCGCGAAGCTCTTGCAATGTCTTGCAGCCAATGTGCGCGGCGCTAAGGCAAGAGCCACATCTCAAAAACGGCCAACCCCCCACTCGTGAAAATCTTGCGAATTTTCCATGTAAGGATGATAAACGGTGAAAAGGTCCCAAGCGAAACGCCCGGCCCGCCCTACGGACAAGCCTCGGGGTGCGGCAGGGAAGAATCCGCCGGCCCCCTTGTGGGGCCACCAGGCTGCGAGGCGCGTGATTCGCAGTTTCCTGTACCAGTTGTAGTTTGTAGTTTCCAGTGTTACAGTTCTGCTTATTGCTGGTTACTGTAACTAGTTGACTTCTTGCTGGTTACTGTAACTAGTTGATTGACCGCGCGAGGGGGGGGGAGGCCCAAACGGGATTTTAGCACCCCCTGGGCGCGTTGTCTGAATTGCTGGGGGGGCTCGAAATCGACACCCCTCACGCAGATCCGCGGGGTCAGGGTCCAAAAACACAGGGGATTTGCCACATTTCTGAAATTCGGTGCCACCCCTCACGCAGATCCGCAGGGGTCAGGGTCCAAAAACACAGGGGATTTGCCACATTTCTGAAATTCGGTGCCACCCCTCACGCAGATCCGCGGGTCAGGGTCCAAAAACACAGGGGATTTGCCACATTTCTGAAATTCGGTGCCACCCCTCACGCAGATCCGCGGCGTCAGGGTCCAAAAACACAGGGGATTTGCCACCTTTCTGACATTCGGCGCCACCCCTTCACGCACATCCATCGCAAGGCGTGGTAACCCAAACTGCGAGAACTCCCTCGGCCCTTTAATCGCAAGGTGTGGTAACCAAGCCCGTAAACCATACACGTCTTACCAATCGCCAGGTGTGGTAACCCCTCTTGTGATCAGTTGGTTTTGCTGATTGCGTTCGGCTTCGCATGAAGTTTCGATACTGCTTCACAACAGCGCCAAGGCCTCATGACTTAGCTCTTCCATGGCCCATTCTCCGAGAGAGGGGGCCGGCGGCTGGGGGCGAAGCCCTTACGGATTATTTATACGGGAAAAACGGAAGAGGAGGAGCAGGAGGAGGAGGAGCAGTCTGAACCCAAGACGCATCGACGATATTGCAGTAGACCCTGCGTCCAAGTTCCCTCTACACAGGCCCCTGCAAGTATTCAAATTCACTAAAGAAATGCTCCGTTGGGAAGCAACCGTTTGAAAATCCCGACCTGTGTCAGAACACTGTTCCCGGAGCTGTAACGAAGCGAACCACCGTTTCTGTTGCGCCGTGACAGTCCTGGACCGTGCCAGATCAGCATCCCTGGGACTTCAACACCGCAAATCAACGTAACTGCTGCGCCCTGACAGCCCAACGTCGTGCGAAAAAAACATTCCTGGCACGCTCACCATGAGAATCCTCGAAACTGCTGTAGTAAACGCTCAAAACGAAGGTGCGCGGCGCTCAGGCGAGAGCCACATTGTGAAAAAGAACCGCCCTCCATCTGTGAAGCTCCTGCACTTCGTTAAAAGCGAATGTGCACGGCGCCCAAGCGAGAGCAACAGTTTAAAAAACGACCCGCTATCTACCCGTGAATATCTTGCACATGTTTAAGGCGAATGCGCGCGGCGCTTAGAAGAGAGCCACAGTTTGAAAACAGCCCGCCGTCTATCCGTAAAGCTTTGGCGACTTCATAAGTTTATAACACTAATGTGCGTGGCCCTTCGGCGTGAATGACATATTGAAAAGGAACCGCCCTCCAGCCGTGAAATCCCACCAGCCCTTTAGGGCGTCGGTGGTGTAACGAGTTTCCTCTTCCACCCCTCCTTCTTCCCCTTCGGGGAGGGGTCTACCCCTCCCCCTACCCCCTCCCCACTGACCTGGACAGGGGGGGCGGGGAGCGGTCAGAGCGTCCAAAACGGCCTCGCCGAGGAAGCCAAAATCATTGATTTTACTAAGGTTTTGGCCCCATTTTGGCCTTCTGAGGGGGCAGCGCTAATTGAAGCTCCCCTCTTCTTTGATCGATTTCCTCCAAGATGGCCCCAAGAAGCGCCCAGGAGGCACCAAGAGGCCCCAAGATGGCCCCAAGATGGCCCCAAGAGGTACCCCACGAGTTACAGCTGATGCTGCGAACTTGGACCTGCACCGAGCCCAAGCCCTGACTCCAGGGCCAAGCCAGGGTCAGAAGGAGAGGAAGAAGGACGAGGAAAAAGCATGGTCCTGGGTCCAACCACCAACTCGAGCGGACGACCGATACATGGGAAGGCCAACACGGGGTAGACCTTCGAGGCAGCACAGAAGTTGGCCAGCTTGACGGGGAGTCAGTCGGCGTAGAAATGTGGGACGAATTGATTCCCGCCAAAAATCGCTCAGATCTCCAGAGAATGTATCGCACCGCACTTTGCAAGCCACGAACGGGGCTCACAGTGGACGCAACACCACCTTTGTCGGGAGGGGGCAACGGGAGAAAGGCCGACACACCACAGGAATCAAATCAGGAAGTGTATGATTAATAACCCCCCTGGAGTGAGCACTGCGCTTCTCCAGGAGGGAGGGCTCACCTGTACACCATCCGCCGCTCCTCTATTCGGAGACGCTTAGGTTTCATTATCTTGACCGGTGCGCGATGTTCACCTACGATGCGATCTGCCGACTGTTTTGCCTGCGCGAAAAGCTCCGAACACATATGTTTGACTCCATCTTTGAGCGCCTGGCATCTGGCTGTCATCTCCTTGGCTACATCGGGAAGCTCGAAGCTGCGCTCATCCGAGGTGAGGAAGACAACGTCCACCGCCAGGTTCTTCTCCAGACGCTCTTCCAGGGCAGGGAGGAAGGAGGGGGGAGGAGGGAGGAGGGAGGAAGAGGAGGAGGAGAGAGGAGGAGGAGGAGGAGGAGAGAGGAGGAGGAGAGAGGAGGAGGAGAGAGGAGGAGAGGAGAGGAGGAGGAGAGAGGGAGGAGGAGAGGAGAGAGGAGGAGAGAGGAGGAGGAGAGAGAGGAGGAGGAAGGAGGAGGAGAGGAGGAGGAGAGGAGAGGAGGAGGAGAGAGGAGGAGAGAGGAGGAGGAGAGAGGAGGACGAGAGAGGAGGAGGCGAGGAGAGGAGGAGGGACGAAGAGGGAGGCGAGTAGCCCCCCACCCCGACCCGCGCGGGACCCCCGCGGCCCGCGCTCGGCCTAGCTCGGCAGGCGGGGCCAGCCCCGCGGCTGCGCGGGAGCGGCGGCTGCAGGATGCTGCTATTTTGCTGAAGCGGGAGAAGACAAGAAGGGAGGAGGAGGAGGAGGAGGAGGAGGAGGAGGAGGGCGAGGGGAAGGGAGGAAGGAGGAAGGAGGAGGACGAGGAGAAGGAGGAGGAAGAAGAGGAGGAGAAGGAAGGAGGAGGAGGAAAAGGGAGGAGGAGGGAGGAGGGAAGGGAGAAGGGAGGAGGAGGGAGAAGGGAGGAGGGAGGAGGAGGAGGAGAGAGGAGGAGGGGAGGAGAGAGGAGGAGGAGGAGGAGGAGGAGGAGGAGGGAGGAGGAGGGAGAAGATGAAGAAGAGGCGAGGAGGTGCGAGGAGGTGGTGAGAGATGAGGAGGAAGGAGGAGGCAGGAGGTCGAAGGACAAGGAGGAGGAGGAGGAGGTGGAGAAGGAGGCAGGAGGAGAAAGTCAAGATAGGATGAGGAGCTTGCTTATAACAATTATGGTGCTCACGTGGTGAATGCGCTGCCCAGCGAGTCTTTAGGCGGAAGGGGCTTTATATCGAACTCCTTGCCCGCAGGGCCCACCATTCCATTTTGTCCACGGCCCTCCTGGTCCACGGAGCGGCAGGGGCCCTGTCGCAGATTCGCTTGGCTGCAGGAGGAGGTGGAGGAGGAGAAGGCGGAAGAAGACGAAGAAGATGGGACCAGGACGTGGTGAGAGAGGAGGGGAGGCAGGAGGTAGAAAAGGGTACGAGGAGGTAGTAGGAGGAGGAGGTAACAGGATGGCCAGACCTGCGTCGCCTGTCCACCATGCCGCGCAAACACGCACACCCCACAAGCGGAGCAGCCTGCGCCTGCGCTTCGATCGAGGCGTGCCGAAGAGCTGGCACGCAACTCCGCGCGCACCGCGAGCGGCAGCGCGCCAACGAAAACGCAGAGTCTGCCTGCAGAGTCTGCCCTCTGCAGAGTCTGTCCTGGAATTTCGTCGCGGCGCCGGCGATCGTGCGGCGCCGTCGAGGCCTTAACTGGGTCGCAACGAAGCGAAGTAGCACACACTTGGGCGCACCGACACCTTACACCTTCTGGCCTTTTTGGCCAGTATACCTTGTCCCCAGGGAAGGTACCTCTAATCACTCAACCAATGCCTGCCATAAGCCTCCCTCCAAGAGAGGCGACGGCTCAGCGGCGGGGGAGAGGGAGGAATGGGAAGGAGAAGCCACGGTGAAACGCGTGTGCCTCAGACTTCCCGCTCTCCGCGACCCCTGCTTTGGACTCCGAACTCTCCTTCTCGTGGTGACGGCCTTCTGAGGCGCAACCTCAGACGACGTGCAAACAGTACGTTTCCAGCCCCCTCCTCAGCTACGGCCAGGCCACGTGGGAGTAGCCTTCGGGCGGCAGGCGAACAGCATGTCTCCAGCTCCCTCCTCTGTGCGCCAGAGACTCCGAGCTCGCGTCCAGGGCGACGCCCAAACGGCTCAGCTTCTCCAGGATGTCGGCCTGCTGTGCCCACGCATCTGCGCTCGCGTCCAAGGCGGCGCTCTGGCGGCACCGCTCATCCGAGGGACCCCCTGCTGCGCCGAGGAGCTCTGGTGTCCCTGCGCGTCCACTGTGATGGCCTGCTGCGCTAACGGCTACGAGCTCGCGTTCAAGGCGTCCTGGACCTCATTCGCGGCGGCGGCTCGCTGCGCCTATGAGCCCGAGCTTGCGTCCAAGGCGTCTGTATGGCATCCCGTGTCGTGCGGGGTGACTGCCTGCTGCGCTGACGAGCACGAGCTCTCTCTCTCAGCGCGGCGTTCTGGTGGCTCTGCCTGTACACAATGGCGGCCTGCTGCGCCGACGACGCCGAACGCGTGTCAGGTCGGCGCTCTGGTGAAGGCTCTGCCCACAAGGCGGCGGCCTGCCACAACGTAGAGTCCGAACTCTCGTCCAAGGCGGCGGTCTGGCGGCTCTGCCCGTGCGGGATGACGGCCTGCCGCGCCGACGAGCCCGAACAAGCGACCAGGGCGGAGATCTGGCGGCTCTGCATGTGCGGCATGACGTCCTGCTGCGCGGGTGCGCCAGCCTCGCACCCATGCGCGGCGATGAGGCAGTGTCTTCTGGCCGCTTCGTCTCCTCCGGCATGGACCGTAGCGATGTTCGGCGGCGCGTGCAACCGTGGGCGCGCGTGCGACCGTGAGCGGCCATGGTTTCTACGCTGAGGTCTGGACTGGAATGGGCTCGAATCGCTTGAGCACATGGCCCTGACGCCTCAAGAGAAGATGAGGAGGAAGTGGGCAGGGAGAGAATAGAGAGAAGGAGGAGCAGGAGAAAGAAGAAGAAGAAGAAGGAGAAACGAACGGGAGAAGAAGAAACAGGCAAGAGCAACGGGAGGGAGAGGGGAGGGCGCCACACACCATGGGCAGAGGAGGAGGAGGAGGACAAGGAGGAGGAGGAAGAAGAAGAAGCGAACGGGAGCAGAAGGATAGGATGGCAGCAGCAGCGCGAGGGAGAAGGGGGAGGGCGCCACAAGGCACGCGAGCCTAGCCAGCCCGAGGAGGCGCAGACAGTGCGAGGTGGGCGCGCGCGACGAGGTGCCCGCAACCCACCTGACCTGGCGCGGCGCCCAGGCGCAACGACGCCCCGCACCCCCCGCAAAACCACCCCAGCGGCGGCGAAGGGCGAGGTCGACAGACCAGCGCCGCCGCAGCGGCGCCGCTGCGCGCGTGCGCCTGCGCGCGATCCGAGGGCGCGACGGCCCCGCGCGCGACGTGAACCTAATTCTGGCGCTGCGCACCACACGCAGGTATCTTCACCCTCCCCCGACCGCAAAAGAGGAGGGAGCACGGACGAAGCGGGCCTGCATCGGCGGCGCGCCCAGGGGGGAGGCAGAGGGGCCGGGCATTCTCCGAAGGCTCGGAAGGCCTGCAGCCCGCCGCCTTCTGAGAAGGCCTGCCCCCCCTCACCTTCCCCCTCGAAGCGTCGCCGACTACACGTCGAACGCGCGCCCCGGCCTCTGGTTTCTCCCACCGCGCGGATCGTTCAGCCCTGAACGATCGGGATCGGCAGCTTTCCGATCGCCAGATCGTTCCACAATGGTCGATTCTGGGCCACTGGCGGAGTTCAGCACTGAACGCCCGCGCTGGCCTCGCCGCCGCGACAGCACCCGCGCCGCCCGGCGCCCGAGGCGGGGCGATGGTAGGAACGGCTCCCGGCTCGGCGCTGCTTGCTGTGAGCACGTGCGCGGCTAATGCATTCGTGCTACCCCCCACACACACAGAAAGTGGAATGGCGCGAAACTAAAGATGGGCCAGGGCGCAGTGCAGCCTGGGCCGAGGACGAAGAGCAAAAAAAAGGACCTGTGCCTCTCGGCAATGCTCCTCTAGCGGCTCACGCGTGCAAGAAGTAGCGGCCTTGACTCACGCGGCTAAGTCCGCTGACGTAAGGCCGAATCGACGGAGAAGCGCACCTTAGCCTCAACAGGCCACGGCAGAGGACGAGGACGAGGAGGATAAGGAGGAGGAGGAGGAGGAATGAAAATACGAAGAAGCACGGAAGGCGAACAAACGGATAGTAACAGCAGAGGGGGATCCGCGGGAATTTGTTCGCTGGGCGCTTTTCGCGCTCCGTGCGCCAGGGCAGGGACGGCTCCAGCGCTTACCGAAAAACTCCGCGAGACCTCTTAAAGTTCAATGCTTGTGCCATTTTGGGGATCTGGGATACTGACGGCAGCGGGAACCCAGACATCCAGCGTTTCGACGTGTTCGACGCGTGGGCCTCGGGCCTCTCGCTCTGCTCTCCGTGGCCTGCCCCTGATCCCTAGCCGTCTTTTGACTGCCATCGGGCCCGAAGCCTGCCTCCGGCTGCCGAAAGTGGCACCAGATCGGCCGACTCGTGTCTGTTCGAGGCATGCCCGGAAGGGATGGAGACAGCGCCACCCCGATGGGCAACCAGCAGATGGAGACTCTGATCGATGCAGAAAGGTGTCGCTTTCCTGCCACGGCAGGTTCGTGTCGTGCCAGCTTCGGCATTGGTTCCCTACTTCGCGGGGGTAGTTCAACCTTGAACGATCGGCCATTTCCGAAACGTCAGATCGTTCAACAGCGACCGATTCTGGGTCGCTGGCGGCGCTCAGCCGGCACGACTCGAACCTACCGCACTCTCCTACGCCATCCCGCGCGAATGTGACGCACTTCTGACACTTTCCTGCCACCCTGCTGCGAACTGTCGAGGTACCCGTAACTGGGTGCTCAACTCGGTGGTTCGCGACTCGATTCTTTCGAGCCCCAGATCTCGCGGCCCCTTCCCAGGGCTGGCTTTTCATCCTGAGTCGTTTCACTGCGGTCCCGAAGGCCCGAACAAAAGCTCACAGGAATAGAAAACTAGAGGCCTCGCACAAGAGGGGGTCCGAGTAGGTGGGGTTGGAGGATCGCGCCGCAGTGCCCCGCCGATGCATCGGCGACGGCGGCGTGGGCAGAATCGGGCTCCCCGTCGACCCGCATCAGCGATGAATCGGCGATGCGGAGCGATCCTCTGGCCCCACCTGCTCGGGCCCGAGTTGAAAGGCCTTCATAAAGCCAGAATAACATCGGACTCTGCTTGCGCGCGGGCCCAGAATGAGACTCGCGATGTCGGCGCTGTCTGCCGAAACGAAGGCGGGCAACGCTGCGGGTTGTTGGGGGGGGCCCCTCCGGGGCCCCGGAGCTGGCCGAGACTGGCGCGCTCCCCTGGAGCGCGGAACGCAGCACCTCCGATGTCGCGCGCATCGACACGGATCTCCGCCGGCGCCAACGTCCGAGAAGCCAGAAACTGCACAAACACAGAGGCCCCCAAGAGGCCTCCCGAGAGGCCCCCCCAAGAGGCCTCCCGAGAAGACCCAGAACTGCCCCCAAGGGGCCCCCGAGAGCGCTCCCAAGCGACCCCAAGAAGCATCCCTGAGGACTCTCACCAACAACCCGGGCACCGTGGCGGGATAGGCCGAAGTCTACTGGATTAAAGAAAAACTGCATAGACATACAGTCAACGCGTAAAATCAGGATGCACCATGATGCTCGGGCCGTGGAAGGCCATGCCGACACGCTTCCAGCGGGGCGTGGCCAGCGAAAGTGGTCAAGGATGGGCCGAAGGAGAAGGATGCAAGGGTTCCCTTGGGAAGCTGTTCGTCCTTACTCTGCGCTTCGGCTGTAAACTTTCAAAGGTCCGCGCGGATCTCTGGGGTCGGTGCCGGGCCTCCCGCCCTGGCGCCGGAGGCGCCAGACCAAAACCACTGCGCGCGGACCTCCGAAATCTCATGCGCACCCCGCTTCGCTTCGACCTATGAGCGAGTCTCCTGGGGGTCCGGGAACGCGCCGAAATCACAGCGGAGAGCCACGCCTGGGCGGCGGCTCCGCTGCTCGAAATCCGCCAGCGGGGGCCGCGGCGCCACCAGCCGCAGCTCGTCGCAGGTGCCCGGGCGCCTGCCCTGCCGGCCTCTCCCCCGAGGAGGGGGAGGAGAAGAGGGAGGAGGAGGAGGAGGAGGAGGAGGAGGAGGAGGAGGAGGAGGAGGAGGAGGGGGAGGAGGCGGAGGAGGCGGAGAGGAGGAGGAGGAGGAGGAGGAGGAGGTTGGGTGGTGAGATCGCAGTGGAACGGAGACCCCCAACCGGGAAGTCGTTTCGTTCCGTTCGTTTCGCGCGTGCGGGCGAGGCGAAGCTGCGTGGGCGCGCGAGAGGAATGAGCCCGCCGTTGCTAGGGCGAAGTCGAGGCACATGATTCTCCCCCGCCCGCCCGTCCAGCGGTGACTCGCGGTGTCCCGCGGTGTCCCGTGGTGTCCCGTGGTGTCCTATGGTGTCCCGTTGAGTGAGATCGATAGTGAGATCGATAGTGAGACCGATTGTGAGATTGAGGTGTCCCGCGGTGTCCCGTGGTGTCCCGTGGTGGCCCGTGTGTCGCGTTGGGTGAGATCGATAGGGAGATCAGTAGTGAGACCGACAAATGTCCCGTGGTGTCCCGTGGTGTCCCGTGGTGTCCCGTGGTGTCCCGTTGAGTGAGATCGATAGTGAGATCGATTTAGTAAGATGTTGGTTCCCCCCCTATCCCCCCCCACACACACACACACAACCTCCTTATCACCCGAAGGGTGGTCGTATAGTTAAGGAGGAAGGCAGAGAAGAGGAGGAGGAGGAGGAGGAGGGACTGGCGTAAACCCAAGACTCATCCACGATGGTGGAATTAACCCTCCCTCCAAGCTTCCTCTTCATAGGCCCCTACAAGGACTAACTTCCACTGGGGGGAGTGCCCCGTGGGGAGACAACCGAATCGTGCCAAAGCACCGCGCTCGGGACTACAACGCCACGTATCAACCTGACTCCTTGCGCGTTGACGATCCTGAATCGCGCCAGAGCACCATTCCTGGGACGTCAGCACCGCGAATCAACGTAACTACTGCGCCCTGACAACCCTGCATGGCCCCAGAACTTATTTTTGGCACGCTACCAATAGGAATCCGTGAAACGCTTGCAAATGTATGCAACGAATGTGCGCGGCGCTAAAGCGAGAACCACATGTTGAACAGGAACCGCCCTCAATCCGTGAACCCCGTACAATATTATGAGACGAATGCGCGAGGCGCCAGGGGGAGAGCCACATTTGAAAATTGCCCGCCCTCCATCCGCGCAGCTCTTCCAATTTGTTCGGGCGAATGTGCGCGGCGCTGAGGCGAGAACCACATTTTGGAAACGGCACGCGTTCCATCCATAAAACGCTTACAATGTATTAGGAAGAACGCGCGGGGCGCTAAGGCGACAGCCACATGTTGGAAGCGACCCACCCTCCACATTTGAAACTGTTGCAAGTGTTCCCCACATCCAAAGTGGGGTCCTTGTTTTCTCTGGACACCCCGCGCAGGAACAGGAACCCACCATCATCATCATCATCATCATCATCATCACTCATTCCTCACTCACTCACTCACTCACTCATCATCCCTCACACACTCACTCACTCATTCACTCACTCACTCACTCACTCACTGACTCATCAGCACTCACATATGATGATGAGTGTGCGCGTGAGAGAGTGTGATGATCATCATCATCATCATCACCACCAGTCAGTCAGTCACTCACTCACTCACTCATTCACTCACTCACTCACTCACTCGCCTTGGGCCTCGTCTGTGAGTGAATTATGAGGAAGTCTCAGGCTGGAGCCCCCTCCCTATGGGGCCCGCGGATTATGTTACTAATCCACGCGGGCCATCCAATTCCTACAACTGTCGCCACTTTTGGGCTCTCGCGCTGCCAGAACGCCATTCCCAGGCCACATTCTGAATGCCCGGAGCCAACTGTAAGCCACTTCGTGTTCTTCGTGCTCCCAGAACACCGGGAATGCCTGCAACGGCCCCCTCCTTATGGGGCCCGCAGATCATGTTACTAATCCGAGCGGGTCATCGGAACCATGTAACTGTCGTCACTTTTGGGCCCCTGAGGCTTGAATTTGGAGGAAGTCTCAGGCGGGAGCCTCGTCTGTGAGTGAATTGCAAGGAAGTCTCAGGCGGGACCCCCCTCCATATGGGGCCCGCAGATCATGTTACTAATCCGAGCGGGTCATCCAATTCCTGTAACTGTCGTCATCAGTTTTGGGCTCCCCAGGCCTGAATATGGAGGAAGTCTCAGGCGGGAGCCTCATCTGTGAGTGAATTGCGAGGAAGTCTCAGGCGGGACCCCCCTCCATATGGGAACTGCAGATCATGTTATTAATCCGAGCGGGTCATCAAATTCCTGTAGCTGTCGTCAATTTTGGGTTCCACAGGCCTGAATACGGGGGAAATCTCAGGCGGGAGCCTCGTCTGTGAGCGAATTGCGAGGAAGTCTCAAGCGGGAGCCCCCTCCCTAAGGGGCCCGCGGATCATGTTATTAACCCGAGCGGGCCATCCAATTCCTATAACTGTCGCCACTTTTGGGCTCTCGCGCTGCCAGAACGCCACTCCCAGGCCACATTTGTGCGTGAATTGCGAGGAAGTCTCAAGCGGGAGCCCCCTCCCTATGGGGCCCGCGGATCATGTTACTAATCCAAGCGGGTCGTCCAGTTCCTATAATTGTCGCCATTCTTGGGCTCTCGCGCTGCCAGAACGCAACTCCCAGGCCACATTTGTAAGTGAATTGCGAAGAAATCTCAAGCGGGAGCCCCCTCCCTATGGGGCCCGCAGATCATGTTACTAATCCGAGCGGGTCATCCAATTCCTATAACTGTCGCCACTTTGGGGCTCTCGCGCTGCCAGAACGCCATTCCCAGGCCACATTTGTGAGTGAATTGCGAGGAAATCTCAAGCCGGAGCCCCCTCCCTATGGGGCCCGCGGATCATGTTACTAATCCGAGCGGGTCATCCAATTCTTGTAAGGGTCGCCACTTTTGGGCTCTCGCGCTGCCAGAACGCCACTCCCAGGCCACAGTTTGAATGCCCGGAGCCAACTGTAAGCCATTTCGTGTTCTTAATGCTCCCAGAACACCATTCCCGGGCCACATTATGAATGCCCGGAGCCAACTGTAGGCCACTCTGTGTTCCTCGTGTTCCCAGAACACCACTCCTGGACCACTTTCTGAATGTCCGGAGCCAAAACAAGAGGGCGAAGTCGGGGGCAACGTAGGGAGCGGGGGGAGGGCCCGCGCCAGGCCGAAAAGAAATATACGCAGAAGAGACAGCCAGGACGCCTCACCAACCACGAGGACGACGGTGAGGGCTTTTTCCAGATTCGCCCAGAGGATTCTCATGCGGGGTCCTTCCGTCGGAGTCATGAAATTTCAGGATCTTGAACGGTAAGAATGTCTCAAGCGAAACGCCCAGCCCACCCTTCCGACTGGCTTCGGGGTGCGACAGGGACGAAGTATTCACAGAGAAAAGGAATAGAGGAGGAGAAGGAGAAGAAGGAGGAGGACGCGGACAAGGAAGAGGAGGAGGAGGGAGAGGAGGGGGAGGAGGAAGGGGAGGCGGACGAGGACGAAGAGGACGAGGAGGAGGACGAAGACGAGGACCAGGACGAATGGGACGAGGGCGACGGCCGCCCCCCTGCCCGCCCCTCCCCCGTGGAGGGGGGGGCGACCCAGGCCTCCTCGCGCCACGAGAGACGCACAGCCGAAGGCGGGGGGGCCCTCGACGAGCCCCCGGGGACGGCAGCAAGACGGGTCGGGAGAACAGGACAAAAATGGCGGCGGGAGGGGGTGGAGGCCTCCAGGGATCCACGCGGTGGAAAACATCGCGACGCCGGGGTCTCGTGGGGAGCGAGCAAGAGGCGGGAAGGCATGGGGAAGAGGAGGAGGATACGAGTAACAAAAATCATAAGAAGAGGAATAATAATAAAAGAAAAAAGGGAAGAAGAAGGTCGCGCAAGCGGTCTTTTATCAAACTATTCAACAAACACCTCAACCACAGGAGGGCTGGAGAAACTGACCAGGCATGGATCCTCGATCCTCGATTCCAATGCCTCCTCACCGATCTCCCAGGAGGAGGACGACGAGGCAGATCAGAAGCAAGAGGAAAAGAAGAAGGAAGAATAATGAAAAGAGGAAGGGGCGAGAGGAGGGCAGGAAGGGAGATGGGAACAAAGAGGATGAGGTGGAGGAGGACGAGAAGAGACGAGAGAAGACAAGCTAGGCACGCTCGCGCCATACCTGACATGCTACCCCTCCCACCCATTCCCCCCCCCCGTGGCCCTAATGTTTTCTCTATCCGCGGATGCGGCCCTAAGCGGACCCGAAATGCCAAAAAGGACTCCATCGTGTTATGCGCAGTCGGAAATGGGGAGCGGCATGCATTGGAGGATGGGGAGGGGGAGGAGGAGGAGGAGGAGGAGGAGGAGGAGGAGGAGGAGGAGGAGAAGGAGGAGGAGGAGAAGGAGGAGGAGGTGGCGGATGACCAGGATGATGAGAGGGAGGAAAAGGAGGAGGTTAAGGAAGGAACTTGGAGGACCACGAACAGCACCGGCAGGAGCTGGAGTAGAAGGAGCGGGAGCAGGGGGACCAGGTGAAGGCGGAGGAGGGGAAAGAAAAGAGGCGACAATGATGAGGAAAGACTCGGATCCAGAGAAGAAGCCCGCGCTGGAGCCACAGTGCCGTTCTGAACGACGGGCGCACATCGCCGATCCTAAAAAGGCCCACGCTGCAGCGGCAGCACCATTTGAAAGGACCGGAAACGACTTGACTGCAAACACACGTAGGAAAACCGAACAATGCAATCATGCCTGTACAAAGAATACGCGGAGAGGAACAGGCGAATCCCTGGCTATCTTCGGGGGAGAAAGGAGAGTAGTATTCATATTGAGCGGTTGTCGAAGAAGTAGGATGAAGCACGTGGGGAGCGAAGATCTACCAAAAGAGAAGGAGGATGAGGGAAGACGAAAGGATCGACAAAGGATAAGAATCGACCAAAGGTAAAAGAGGAAGGTGAACGAGGAGCGACAGAGGAGAAAAGAAGATGGTATAT